CTTGATTCCACTGATTGAACAACTTTATGTAATCACTTATTCGGCCCCGTAAAAATAATCAAAGCCTACTGGAAAAATGTTCAAATAACTTTTTATCCTTGGAGGGCATTATTAGTTTGTGATTTGTGCCAAAATACCCTGGCACGTCCACATTTCTTTAATGCTGTTAAACAGCAGCGAGTGAAGGAGTCTGTTGTGTTGATTGCTGCAGATCAGCATCATTCCAGAGGCGTGTCTGGCCTTTAAGACCTGTACTCAGCTCTGCTTTCAGAGCCAACCTGCTCCTGAGTGACTGCTTGTCACAAACACTTTGACATTTAAAAAACTTGGCATCACGCTCCGCGTCAGAGGAAATGCACATTTCAACAGACCTCTTAGCAGCGCTTGTACAAATGTGTCGAGAAGAAACAGCACAGCTTACGATGGACGAGGAGAACTGTAACTGTTAGTTGATGCCGATTCTTACTTTGGAAAACTGCGTTCCGAGTGCAGTAGATCCTGTTGCAAGAGAGCAAAATGATTCTTGGATATGCAGTTGGATATGTGGTTAAAAGAAAAATCCATCCCAAAGCACACTGGGCATATTTTTCTCAGACATGTGTCCAAAACTGGGATTAATTGTGGACTGGGGACTTAATCCATCATTTTAACTACTGGTGATATGCTGTGCATTCCTGCAGCTGGTTCTTAGACTCCAGAATCATTTTTGTCTTTAAGTAGATAAATCCAAGCCTAAAGCTCAAATTGTCTCAAGAGACCAGCGTGCAATCCTGCAAGAGACAGTCGAGGAGCAATGCTTACTTTACCTTTATATGATTTGAAGTGTCTCGCTATAGGTCAAATGTGGGATTTTATTTAAAAACAGATAAAGAAAATGCTCCTTCGAACATGCCTTTTAAATAAGACTTGAATGATTTATTGACGAGAAGTCATCCTTCATGTTTGTGCTTTTTGGCAAGCAGATACAACGCTTTACGTTCTTTCTATATCAAATAAACAGCACGTTCTGCTATTGATTTCCCCACATCCAACCAAAACCAAATGCAGCCCTTGACTCTAAATTGTTCCATTTCTATTGCCTCACCACCCAATAAATTCATCCCCATGAAAAGAAGTCCTGGGAATTGACTGTTGTCACTTACAGCAGCAAAAATAGACTAGGTAGCTTGAAGGAAATGTTCTAAAAAAGACTGCAGGAATGCACAAAGCACCACAGACTGGCCACTTAGAAGAGAACAACTGTAGGGAGGATTTTTCCTTTACCAGAAAAAAGGAAAAGGAGTCTTTGTTGAAAGGCAAGAAACAAACAAAGTGATTTTCACAGAGGCAGTGCCTGCAGTGCCCCAATGTGCCAGATCAAAATCAGCCAGCAGGGCTGATGTTCTGCAGGCTGTGGACAAAACACACCCACCTGCTTCTAAAAGAGACACGGCAGACTCCAGCTTCATAATTATACATATAATCCGCCCACACAAAGTGTGGCTACCTGATGAGGAGCGAGAATGTGTGTTGCTGTGGGTGCGTCACGTCTCTATTGGTTTGTGTGCGTGCGCGCACGCTCTGTGCTAGCAAGAATACAGAACTGTATTCATGGAAACCTGGCTTCTGGCTTTTAAAGAATTCTTTTTTCTTTTTTGTTTAACAAACAAATATGCCATTTGAAGAACAACAGTACAAACAATCACAAGAAAAAAAATTTCAAAATCTGCGTATGTCAGTTACATCTAAAAATCTGGAAACGAGCCGCACTAAAAATCCTGATTCTTCTGGTTTGTGTGTTTCTAATATACAATCAGCTGCTTTGAAGTGGTCAGACCTGAGGTATAAATGACAACCAGATATGCAGCGTGACAGAATAAGAAACAGACGCATCTTCTCTGCGGAGAGGTGCACGGCAATCGTATACAATTCTTTCCTTCCTGGTATCCCACCACATCGTGCACCGCCCAGTGACAGAACGGCGCATCCCGTGTCGTCTAATAAGTGAGGTTACAGTAGTTGTTTTGTTTGTTTTTTTGACATTTTTTTCTCTTTTTTATATCTTTGTCAGTCTTTCTCTCAGAAGAAAAAAAACCCAAATTGAATTACAACCGACCTAAAAAAAACAAACAAAGAGAAACTGATTAGCTCACATGAAGATGCAAAAAACAGTAAAAATAAATACATACATATTCATAAGATATAGCTTTTTTTCATTTTGAACATCATTAAGGACATTTTCCTGTGCGTGCTGCGTTTTTTTTTGTTTTGTTTGGGAATACAGTGTCAAATGTTTAGGAAAAAAATCACAGCTCATAAAGGAAGGTTAACTTGTCCACCTGTCCCCCAATCTCCACTGCTGGGTCTCTGATTTCTCTGGGTTTGAGAAAGAAAAAGGACAAAATGTACCCTGGTCAGGTTTCATCCTGGAGTTCTGTTACACTTGGAAACAAACATATGTATATTTAAAAACACGTATTCCTTCTCAAACCAGGGTGGAACCAACCTGACTCACTGCCTCCAGGGTGAAACCAGATGACTGAATCTGTAAATGTTTAGAATTTTAGTAGGAAGAGGGTTTCACTCTCCCCATATAAGACCAACCTAAACCTGGGATAGCTGTATAGTCCCCTATGCTATAATGTTTTTTCGCAAATAAAAAAATACCTTAAAAGCGGTGGGTGGCAAGTATTGGTCAGTCAGACACTTGACGTGTCTTTTTTTGCAATGTGAAGGCAAAACAAAGAAGAAAAGCTTATAAAAGCGTAGAAACAGTGGAGGATACTGTATTTCCCAGAGTATCAACTACACCTTTGCCAAGCTCCCAGGTAAGGGATACGTGAAAGTACGAGGCACGGAAAGGAGTTCTGAGAATGAGGTATAGCACTTGGTCTCTACTGACCAAGTTAGCATGTTGTGTGTGAGCGCGTGCGTGCGTACACACGTCTACTAATTCAGTACAGGTAGTTAAGTCATGCGCCATTTTCCGACTGACAAATATTGCTGCCCATCCCACTGGCTCGATCCTGAGACATTTGCGGTATTAAAGGCTACTGAAAACGACTGTGTTTCCAATGACAGCAGCAGAAAGCAAAAGGAGAGAAAGCAACAGTCTGTTAAAAAAAAAATCAAGCATCTGCAGACTGCTGTTCGACGGATTCATGTCACTACATTCGTTTGTTATTCTGTCAGAATATAAATAGATAGACACGTAAGTGAGACTCGGTTGCAAGGAGGAGGACATTTTCGGACAGGGGGAGCGGTTAACCACATGACTATAAACAATCAACGAAACCCAAGAGAAAAAGAAACAAAATAAATATATGTGTATATATAAATGGCATGCACCTCAGTAGATAAGTTCAGGCTGAAAATGGGACTTGTACTTTTAGAAAGCAATGACAAATACAGAGCCAAAGCCAGCTGTAACATAACAGGTTCAAGAAAGGTCGAGAGGAAAGTTTTGTAGATGATTTAGTCACTTGAATAAATTATACAGCAGATATTGTTTGGCCCTCAAGGAATCGCCTCTCTCAGGGGATTTCAGTCAAAGTGCCAATTGAGTTAATTTATGCACACATGACGCCAATTACATAATGCATAAATGGGTTTTGTTTTTAAAAAAAAACAACATATTACATGACCAGGGAGATTGGTGTGAGAGAACACAATGTGAGATGTGTTTTGTTCCTACTTTCATTCACAGCTTTGGTGCCTTTTATCAAAGGCAGGTTCATAACAAGTGCTTTACTATCACCACTCAGGCTTTGATCCTGTTTTAACTATCAGATCAGTGCATTGTCTTTCGCTGGGTCCAACTTGATGCACGCGGCAACCTTTTAGACACTTCAAATGCTCAGCATTGGCAAAGTGTTGGACGCATTTCATGCATATTGATTCCTGGCTATGTTGTCCCAGGATTACTACTTTTTATTGTTGTTGTTGTTGTTTTTTTTAGTTACTTCAGTTAGCTTTGCATGCCTGGCAGTCACACAAAGTGGACAACCAGTAACCCCAGGGGTGGGAGAAGATTGCAACAGGTAGTAAATTATTCTAATCATAACTAGATTGTGATTGATTCAATACTTAACTGTGTTGGATTATTATTACTCTCAAGATTAATATTCTGAATTGGCCCAAACCCAAAATCAGCCAAAAATAGTGGTGCATGCCATTTGTTAAAAGAGAATAAACAAAATCAAATCAAATAAATAAAATGTACAATACATTTCAAAAGGAGTGAATCATCGTCATTTCATCTGAGCAGAGAGTTACAATTCTCATGTCAAAAATCTCACAGACTGGGTGAGCACCAGGCAGTGTCAGGAGCAAAGAGCGACATTTAGCGACGAAGGGGAGGGGAAAACAACGAGACAACACTACACAAAACTGAACTTGTTCAAGCTGTCAAACTTTTTTTCTTTTCTTTTTAAATGGTGGAGGTAATTGAGAGGAAAATAAGTGGTTTGGGTCCAAGCTGCACCTTTCAGAAACACTAAAGCTTTTTTTATGCCATCTCTCTGACCTCCTCATTGCCTCCTCTGTTGTATTCCTCAGAAAAGAGCTACACTGCATGCATAACCTTAAACTTTCTTTCTCCTTTGTTTTTCTTCTTGTGTTTAAAAAGTGCTATCTTAGAGGTTCAGCGCCATAAATCCACAAATCCAACATCAGTGTTCTGTTCTTTTCCAGTACTCCTTAAAGGTCTATCTGCTGCTATGGCACCGCCATATTATCCATATGGCCCTCCCAGAGTCAAAGCACTGGTGAGAAGCTTGCCGTGTCCTCTTTTCATCTACTATTAGGTCCAACAGGAAATTACCATATTTGTAATCCACATCTGTCTCAGTTACCCTGAGTTAAAAATGAGGAGAGAGAAAAAACACCCAGAATCATGGATTGGCTTTTACATATTCAGTCATAATAAGTTATAATATATTAAAATCTGCCTTTCCCCCACCTACCAACTACCCCTGCCCACTGCATATTACCCACCCACCACCCCAAACTGAACACCCCACAATAAATGCACATTGTTGTAGTAAACTGCCTTTAAAACCATCTTTGAAGTTTTAGGGAGAAGAATTTCTTTTAAAACTCATGTGAGTTGCTTCTGCTTGGTTTTGATTAGAAAAAGGAAAGAAAAAACAACATCAGCAATATGGTGTCATTAGCTAAGAAGCCAAAATCCATTAGCTTAGGTTAACTAAAGCCTCTATAGGAACTGGATAATGAACTGGGTAGCAGCACAGTTTCACATTCTGATCCTAAAAGGCATTTGTCCAGTAACGATCTTCATGAGAGGGTGAGCTCACTTTAGTCACCGTTTGCGGGTGGCTCCGGCTTTCCAGGATCAGCAGTGAGAGACTGATGGAGGTCCGTGAGGTAGCATTCCGCCTTAAAAACCCCCCGCTGATCCATAAGCAGATCACCCCTTAAATTGTCCCTTGGCAAAAAAGAGGGTTAAAGAAGCCTCCTGCATCTGAATATGAATCAGCGTATGCAGGCGATGTGCACCTCTGACCCTTTGCAAAGTTGTGACTGGGCTTCAGAGACAGACCATAATAAGTGCATGATGCATGGGCAACAATGCCGAGGTAACCTGGTCTGTAAGCGCCAGACTCAAAATGTAGTGCAAAAGAAAGCAAAACAAATCAAACGAAAAGATAGAGGAAAAGAAGTCGATTACAGAAGTCAGTAGTGTCCACGAAACTCACAAACATGCATCCCTGAATGACTTTTGTGTCTTCTCGTTCATAAAAAGGATGGGTTATTCTTGCTTTTCGTCCGCACAGAAATTAGCAGAATATTTGAAGGAGGAAAGAAAAGGATTTTCAGTTAAAGCGTCATGGCTACCTGGCAATAAGAGAGTGGGTTTGATTCCGAACCCTAACTGAGGAATATCAATGGTACAATTAAACCTTACAGTTGCAATTTTGAGCTAGTACTTGATGAGCAAGAGGGGAGTGATAAAGGGACCAATTTGTCACTTCTTCTAAGGAGTTAATTTTCAACCTTCCCCTTATTTTTCCCCATCATTATCATATTAATCCAAAGCAGACTGCATTTATAAGCAGCAATGCTTCAGTGTATCAAGTTCATAAAAGACGGGAGAGAATTTTGGGGGGTTGGGGATTATCAGCATGCGTAAATAATTGTCATTTACCTAATGTCTTTAGCTGCATTTGTTAAGCCCCTGAATAGAAAAGCTGAACAAATGCTTCTATAGCATCGCTCAAATGACACTAGTTAAGAACCATCCGATTAGTTGTGTCTCTCCAGTTTAAGAATCCTCCTCATATAATCCCTGCATTTGTGCTCACCCAGATACTGCAAAGTAAATTGGCACAAATAAAGCCCCATCCATTTTCAAATTACTTAAGTCAGTTGAGGTTTACATGTGTAAGTCGTTTAGTCGATCGGTTTGAAATCATCATCGATTTCTTCTTTTACATTGTCCTTGAGCTCGGCAGCTGCTAGCGATGCACCGTCGCCTCGTGGGGTTGCAGTGGGCGTGTTCTCTGACTCGTTGGGAAACTCCTGGCTTCCTGCTTCCATCTTCATCATCAGCTTGAGCTTCTTCTTTGGGGGGTTCTTCAGGGTCCCCATGCGCTCCTTGACCTTGTACTCCAGGGTGCTGTGTGGGATCCCATACATGTTCTGTGCCTTGGACACGCTCATCTTCCCGCTCATCACTACAGCTATGGCCTCCTCCAGAATCTCACTGTTGTACTGGCGATATCGGCCTCTCTTCTTCCTTGGCTGCTTGGAGCTTGGATCCCCTTCCACATCTGAGATGGAGTACGCCGGCCCAGAACTTGAGTGGTCCAAGTCTGAGTTCCAATATTCAGCAGCCCCATCCAAGAGGCTCCCAAGGCTTCCTCCTCGGCGGTTCTGCTTTGGCAGAATGGCTCTTAGCTTCCGGCTCAGGGTGTTGTCCCCATGGCCACCACCCCCGACCCCCATTGCACCGTAGCCATAAAGCTCAGAGGAATGGGAATCCCAGGAAAGATCCATGCCCCGAACCTGGGGGATTTTCAGGTCAACAGGCGGAGAGTGGCCTTGGTCTCTCTTTCCTTCAATGTGATGATGTTGGGCCTTGGAAACCTGATTGTGGTGGTGATGATGAAGGGAACTCTTAAAGGCGAAGGCTCCGTGGTGGTTGTGGTGTTGATGCTCCAGGAATGTAGGCAGGTCTTTGAGGTCGCTCAAAGCTCCACTGGCCTGCTTCAGCTTCATTAGGCTTTCAAGGTGAGCCTTACTTCCCCAAAATGAAGAAGAACCCTTTTGGCCAAGCAAGGAATGGGACTGGCTATGACTGAGCAAGCCAGCTGACTCTAGATTAGACAGTGAAAGAGCAGGAGGTTGACTCAGAAGGCGATGCTTCTGGCTGAGAAGCTCTTCCTTAATACGCAGCGAGCGGGCCAGTGGGGGCTTGAAGGAGTTAGAGTTGACGTAGTTCTCCCTCATTGCGTCCTGCAAACTTTTCTGCAGCAGCCCATCCTCCTCTTCCGCCTCTGGCAGGGTATGATCTGCTTTGATTGAAAGTCTGGATGGAGAAGAAGACGAAGAAAAGAACTTCAGGAACACAGTTCTTCATATAAGATCAAAGTTATTTTTAAGACAGGGGTAGATTTGAAACAACTGAGGTAGTTACAAAAAGAGAAAAGAGCAACAGACCGTATCTTGCACTTATATGAACTGATGCTTTAATACATACAGTATTGAGTGATTAATTAAAGCTAAAACTGACAACCTAATAAAACAAATCTTTCACATCTTTTATGCAACACGTTTTCTTTTTAAGCAGAACATTTGCTGTTTCCCACATTATTACTGAGCATCAATTAGCTATTTGCAGTTACTGCAGCTGCATTTAATATAATGTAGCACAAGGATGCATGGCATTATAGTTTTTTCTTTGGTCTAAATAAATCTCAATTGCTGCTTTTTTATGTAACCCACTGCATGAAGGTGGTTTAATTTTGCCGTTACCAACAGAACAGAACTGAATTGTATTTATATTTCTACAGCAATAACCAGTTGCCTTCCATAGTCTCTCCTTGCATGAGACACGGTAGTCAGATGTTAACTAACAGATGCCAGGGTTGGTAAATAGTTGCTGTGATGGAAATCCTTGTTCTAATCATTATTATTTAAGTATTACTGCCAGCTGCAGTGAAGGTGGAGTAAGTCTGGACCACAGGGCAAGAGGTTCTCTAGAGGGGAAGTTGAATGATATCAAAGACTGTCACAATAGAAACAGGCTAAGCCTTCTGATAAACACGGGGCAGGAAGGGCTGACTGGTCTGAACATGACCTCCAAAATTGTTTCAAATATATGAAGAAATAATTAAAAATAATAAACATGCCAAAATGAGCTGCCCAATGTTAGGTTGGTTGTTAACGTACCTGGACGATGTGCCCAAATAAAGGATACGGCTGTGACTGCACTTTTTAAGTAGGAGAACACCAACAGATGCCAAAGAATATTACAGGTATCAGCCACAATCATTGGTTGTCATCAAACTTCAAAGTCCATATGAGTGCGTTATCAATTAGAAGCACTATTCACAAATAGAAGATTTGTCCAGATACATTTCAGGATAACAGCAATCCACTGGTAGTGAGGCTCATAGGCCTGGTGCCTCAGGACTTTTGAGACATTTCAATCCTTAGAAGGAAGACCTATCCTCATAGGCATAAGGTGCTGTTTCTAACTGTGTTTTAATCGTGTTGTGCAAATACTTCACCAAGGTTTACCTGCTGGGCTATAGCCTTGTTTGTCAGCAGGAAATCTGTTGCTATGTTAGGGTAAGAAAAAAAGCATCTGAGTGTCTGTCAGTTTTCACCTAATATTTTTCTGTTATAGTAACCTTGATCGCAATATCATTCATATTAGCAACAAACACAGGTGATCAGACAGGAACCAAGACTATCACAGAGTATTTGGGGTAAAATGAGGAAGCCGTAAACTAAACTAAAACCTGCACACCACTACATCATGCCCAAATTTAACATAACATCTCAGTGCAGCAGTTGCAGTCGCATATGCTCTCTGAATCGAACCTGTTTCAATCCATATTTGACCTACAGTACAGATCAAAGGTTTTCATGAAAATGACCACCGCAATTAGCATAAATTGTTTATTCCCTCCTGACGCACACATGTACACACATGATTCTTAACACAACCTCAAGGAAAATTATGTTCATCAATAGTTAACAGAATGCAATGCAAAGAAAGTTCACTAAGACACTGACAAAGGCTTCTTTTCTGCAGGACAAAGTCATGTTGATATTGCTATTGTAACACTGTTGGGTTGATGAAACAAATCTATATAAACTTACCATTAAACTAATGATAGTTCATTAGAGTAAAATCAATAAGTGAAGAATAAAAGTGGAGAAATGTGGAGAAACTGAATATGGACACAATCTCTTCAAGACCTGCAGTCCTGTGCTCAGCTTTACAAAGAAAGTGTATTTTCTGTAAAATCAAGAATCTAACTGACTTTAATTCAACTGAATTCAGTTTTATTTATATAGCGTCAAATCCCAACTGCAGTCACCTCAAGGCGCTTTATATACGGAGGAAAATTATAACAATCAAACATCCCCCTTTGAACAATCAAATGGCGACAGTGGGAAGGAAAAACTCCCTTTTAATAGGAAGAAAGCTTGAACAGAACCAGGATCTGGAAGTGGCAAACATCTGCCATGACCAAGGGACAAAAAACACAGTTTAAAAGAGAGTCAGAGATTAATAATAACTAATTAATACATTTATCATCAGAACGATGTAATAATTCATCCAGTTCAAGATCCATCGCAATTCTCGCCCACAAATTAACAAATGTGACCTTTTTCCCATTAGGCTTTCATTGTGGTGAAGTTCGGTTAAATTCTGACCAACACTGCAGGAGGTGGAGTGATTTTTGTGAACTGTAGACAGAGAGATTATGCCTCGCCACAACATACCCTTATGAATCCTTTGGCTGGATGAACGAATAGCATAGTACCGAATATAAACACAAACTCTTTTTATTGTCTACATGATTTAAAATCTTTAACATCTGAGAAAGATTTACTAGATTCTCGATGAAAGAAACACACTTTCTTGATCATCTACATGTTGTAGCTGTGCACTGTCACCTGGGGGCAGTGTCAAAACATGTGGAACAACTATGGACTACTCTTGCGAAGTAGCCTACAGATCAGTGTTTGTGGGCTGCTGTTAGTCTTTTAGCTTAGCCCCTGCCACGGAGAACACAGCAGTCATAACAGACAAAGAGTTTTTTGCAGTGGACTGAAACTGAGTGTTAAAAACTGTGCAAAATATTTGCTTTGCTTCTTCTGTGGGCTTCTTTAAATTTCTGATTATTTTTTCACACTTTTTCTCCTTCCTGTTTAAACCTACTTTTCAACCAGTCAGCATTCTTCCTACACAGAGCATCATCACTGTCAGCCTACACGCCGTTGCTTTTTTGAAGTACCGCATGCAAGCACGTCTGTGTTGGTTGCATACCCAAAAATCCTGCGTAGCCAAAAAACCTACGCAAAACTGACAGATACGTGGTTCCATGAATTACACTTAATGGTGGGGGGAGCAGCAAGACCCCAACAGAGACACAGACCAGGAATCAATGACAACAGTTGTGTCACAGAAGGGAGGAGGGCCTGGGGTGGATGTGGGTTGAAAAGTGGCTTGCAGATGTGCAGCAACTGTGGGAAGCTGATGAGTGGAAGGGTGTCAGCTAAGTGCCAGCCAAGGAAAAGTGAATCTGCCAGGCTTAAGGTTGAGCCTGACTCTGTGGCCTAGCTGAACTAACAGTATGGGAGCATCACACAGCTCTTTCTCAGTCACTTTTTATTTATTTAAAAAAGGCACTATTTAGTGATGACAGCCATATCGAGTATGCATAACAAGATAGAGTAGTGCAGTCATAACAAAATCTGATGACCTATAATTTACCTGTTAACAGCTCCCCACTTTCAACCCAAAGTGAATACAGGTTCATAAACTGACAGATCTACTCTGCAGCTCCTTTTCACGAAAATAATCTATTGTGAATGCATGCAGTATATACTGATGGTGCAAATATTGACTGTACAAAACAGAGGAGAGATTATGCTTTTTATTTAGATGTGTTTCATATAGTGGTGAAGGTCTATATTAAATATTGCTATAGGTTGAATAATGAGGCCAGTACAGTTTATTTACAAATAATCTTTATGATCCAAGAGCTCAGTTTGTCTCTCTAAATTTCAGACAGTTTGGGGTCTTTGGGCTCTGTGTGATGTCAATTCCCTAATATTCTGATCTCAGCCAGACAGCTTTGGCTGAGACCGCAGCGTTCCCAAGCATTTGATCTTCCAACCTTCTGTTTGCAGTAGCAGCCAATCAGAAGAAAGCTGGCATCATGGAGAGGAGCTAAAATTTCTTATCTCACATAAAGTGAAATGAGAGCTCATTATATCTGCCACAGAGAGGGTGCTGCACCACAAACTTCCCTGTGATTACTTTGGTTGACAGCCGTTTGCTGCGATTGCTCATAGTTTGTATGGAAGAGACTGACCAGTCTGGAAAAACTCTTGCCACTTACCCTCGGAGCTGCAGTGAAACTTGAAAAATCACGATGGAAACCAGAAACATTTGCTTTAAAAGTAACGTTTTTCTTTATCACTGCAACCCACACATTTCAAAAGATGCTGTTTCACTGCTGGTTGAATAGCTTGTGGGTATTTGCACTAATTTCTACGCTGGAGATCATCAACCGGTCACAGAATCCGCACTTTTCCTTAGCACCTGGAGGTTGTCAGATGTTTGGCAACCAGTCTCTAGGCATGTGGGACTGGAGCCTAAAGCCACTTTAGCAGAGATCAAGAAAAAATATGGAGCTGTAATTGAGTTTAATAGGGTTATTTAAGTTAAATCAAATATTCATTAATTAATAAGTATTTGGTAATCAATATGGTTGACAGCCATAAAGAGACTGCCAAGTTTTGTCTGTGAAGTGTAGTGCAAAATTACAACACTGCTTTATTTCTTTCACCAGTGCTGTTTCAGGCAAATAACTGAGCTGCTTTGGTTAAATAGACTAGTTTGCTTTCTTACCCTTTGAGTCCAGGTTTGGGGGTGAAGTTGAGCAAAGCTTTGGGGCTGCCTGCACTGTGGTTCTTCTTTGTGGAGAGGTCTAGGACGCCATCTGAGAATAAACAAAGAGGAGAGAAAAAAAGATTAAACACAACTGATCTCCAGCTCTATTCAATACACTGCTTTTCTTTGGAAAGAGATGTAACCCTTACTGTAAATGTCTGTATATGTCTACAATTACATCCTCGAAGAAACTATTTCAGAGGGAGACAACAGTGTTTTTTTATATTATTTTCTCTATTTCCGATTATTAATTTGTCTGTAATGCAAAACACAAAGTAAAAACAAAGAAAGGAATCCACCTGTGACTGAAATTGAATCTATTAGGATTCCCACATACACAACCACCGAGCATTTGAAAATGTAAAAAGCAGGACAAATTTGTTACCTGCATATGAAATCGTGATATTTTCAGACCTTGCACGATTCATTTTCTTTTAGTATACTATGCATTTATATTTTCTCCTCTTCAGTCCAGTTTGATTTTCATCAGACATGTTTAATGCCCTCCTATAGAAGGTTTTGGATTGCAATCAAGATTTGATTAACCTGAGCAGGAAGGCAGTTGCCATGACGACCATACCATATTCCAGAGTGAATATGAGAAATCACTAAGTATATATGCTATGTGCGTGTGTGTATATATATATATACATATATATATGTATATATGAAACAGCCAACATTATTTGGAAGGTTGGATGTGTCTTATAAATGAGCCTCTTCACACTGCATATCACGGTTTTGCATTTTATACATTCATAAAATATTCCATCACTGTTTGATCGATCGGCATGAATGTTAAAAGCTTTGGCATCTGCTTGTGTCTGTATATAAAACCACCCGTTTTTCCCCCATTTTTTTCGTTAAATACCAAAAAAAGAAAAAAAAAGATGTTCTGTGTGCATCAGAACAGGTGGAATCTGTGTGACACTCGCAGTGAAGTCCTGGAAATACTGTGGCTACATGCTGAGTGTGAAATCTCAGTTTATTTGTCAATATGTTTAGTTGACACACACGTGGAGAAAAAACTGATCATCCTATGTAGTGACATAAAGTAAGCAGAAAAAAGTGTAAGCTGGCACATTCTGTTATTTTTTTATTTTATTTTCAAGAAAATCTGTTCATCTTCAAAGCAGAAAATGGTAAAAAAAAATATGTAATTCTGATCCTTTTAATGACAAAGACAGACTGATTACATGATCATCTATCTATCTATCTATCTATCTATCTATCTATCTATCTATCTATCTATCTATCTATCTATCTATCTATCTATCTATCTATCTATCTATCTATC